TGGCTGACGTCATCAACCAGTCCCTCTCCTCCGGATCAGTCCCTGCCTCCCTCAAAGCTGCTGTCATTACCCCCTCCTGAAAAAACCCTCCCTGCATCCCTCAAACCCCAGCCACTACCGTCCTATTTCTAACTTACCCATCCGCTCAAAAGTTCTAGAACGCATTGCTGCCAACCAACTCCGCGCACACCTCTCCTCCCACTCCCTCTTCGAACCCCTCCAGTCCGGTTTCCGCCCACAGTACAGAGACTGCGCTTGTGAAAGTCACAAACGACATCCTCTCTATCTGTGACCAGGGCTCCCTCTGCCTCCTTGTCCTCCTGGCACTCGTCAATGTCTAAAATCTCATGGCTCTCACCTCCTCCACCTACCCGACCTCCCCCTAAAACTCTCCAAACCCGTACGCAACCTAGGTGTCAGGTTCGACCCCCAATTATCCTTCCTCCCCCACATCCAGTCCCTCACCAGCACCGCTTTCTTCCACCTCCGACACATTGTCCGTCTCCACCAATACTTCTCCCCAAAAGCCGCTGAAACCCTGGTCCATGCGTTTCTCACCTCTCGGCTGGAGTTCTCCAACGCCCTCCTCGCCGGTCTCCCATCCACTACCATCCATAAAATCCAACTTATTCAGAACTCTGCCGCCCGCATTCTCACCTGCACCAAACTCCGCTCCCCGCTCACCCCAGTCCTGGCCAGACTGCACTCACTGCCTGTCCCAGAGAGGATCGATTTCAAGATCCTCACCCTCGTATTCAAGTCCTTGCACTCCTCTGCACCCCCCGACCTCTCTGACCTCCTCAATCCTCAGCACAGTACCCATTGCTTTCGTTCCTCCGGGTCTGGCCTCCTCCTCGTCCCAAGTCCTCCGCTCCACCCTCGGCAGCCGTGCCTTCAGCCACTATGCCCCGAGGCTCTGGAACTCCTTTCGCCTCGCTCCCTCCCTTCCTTTTTTCAGGTCTCTGCTGAAGACCTTTCTTTTCGACTGCGCCTTTGGTCACCTTTCCCCCCCCCCCAACCCTCCCCCCGGCTCGGCCCCGGGATCCGTTACTGTGAAGCGCTCTGAGACACCGTCCGCGTGGAGGGCGCTATATAAATCAGAGTTGTTATTGTTGTATTAGAATTATACGTAGACTGTTTCTCGCTTGTCAGAAAGTTAATCACAAAGGGGCTTAGATACAAAATAGTGATCAGCGTATATTGAACTTTAAAGGGCAGCGGATGAGGTTCTGAGCAGCAAACCATTGCCAGTCCTCCCCCGCCCACCTTGTGCGTTTCAACAGAACTTAACATTGTGTCTTGTTCCTTTTGGCCCAATTCCCAGCAGAGTTGAAAAGGGATAGAAGACAAGCCGGGTTCAGTTGAAACAAGCTGAAGGACAGAAGCGAGGGGCTGGCACCAGCTCACATTAATGCAACGCTTCAAATACAGCCTTGGAACCTGCTGGGTGTTATGTACAGACAGGAATTCCAGCTCTTCCAAAAAATTAGCAGTATATTCCTAGGTCAGGCATTGCCTAATAAGGGGCAGACCAGCCTGAAGCATGGATTCAGAGCAGACAGCTGAAGAGAACACGTCCTCTGTTTATGTAGCACAGCGTACTAGTATCAGGTGTGAGCATAGACTGTCAAGTCACCACAGCAATCAGAACGTAACTGATTATTATTAAATATCTCCTGCAAGGTGGGAGCGGGATACTTTATACTGAAACAAACACTCCTTCACCACTTAGGTACAAATACATTAAGTACGAAGGTAACCAACAACAACACCGACAACCACACTTTGCATTTATATAGCGCCTTTCACATCAGGAGGACTTCCCAAAGCACTGGACAGTGAAAGGTTTGCAGTAGAGCTGGTGGCCAGAGTCAAGAGGGGTGGAGGAGGGAAGGTGAACGAAGGCGTGGTCAAAGAGGAAGGTCTTGAAACAGGCCTTGAAAGAGGCAAGGGAGGGGAGGGGACAAGATGAAGGGACTCCAGGATGGAGTTCCAAAGAGTGGGGGCAGAATGGCTGAAGGCCTGACCAGTGATGGTGGAGCACTTTCAATATTACAGGGCAACGACCATTCCAGCACCTGTCCAACCCAGCACTACCTCGCTTACCAGCGGCTCGCACCAGACTTCCTGTGCTGACTAGACAACTTCCTAAGCTACAAAATAGTTGACTTCCACATCATTAGGTGGGGCATGGAAACATTGCATTGTCGGAAGTGTCAACCTTCAGATGAGACGTTAGTTCATGCGGACATCAAAGATCCCATGGCACTACTCAAAATGAGAAGTGAGCTTCCCCCAATGCCCTTACCAACAATACCCCAGGTAAGCGTTCGTCATTTGCTTTGCAGCTGCCTTTATTTAAAAATACAGTCACTACACCTGATGGAGATTCTCTTTGAGATGATTCGCTATTACAGGCTCTCAAAATGCAAGAATTATTTTTTCTATCATGAAACATGGGTTGGGATTAAACTAGCTAGACTGTAGGCCATGAACACGATTCCCACTTACACAGTATCTTTCATGTAAAAATATGCCTAAAAAAAATTATGAATTAAAGGGAGAGTTAGGGATGTTGGCCAAAAAGAGGCCATATGTATAGAAAACTTTTGTCTGTTTTTAGGAGGGCTTTGAGGGCAGGGAGATTGGATGAAGCAACGTCAAGGGGTTTTGCAGGGAAATTCCAGAGGCCCGGCCACTGAGTGTTGTGGTCAGCTGAACGTTGGCCATTAATTGTGTAGCAGGAGGGGAAAATGGCATCAGGCTGGGATCAGAGAGCACTCGCAGGAGGGCAGAGTTGGGGAGATCGAGGAGGAGGCAAGAACGTGAAAGGATTCAGGTTGCACAAATATCTTAATGTCAAACCATCAGGATATTGGGAGCTATTGTAACCTGGGGAGGATGGGAGTGAGCGGTGTGCCGAGCTCGGTGTGGGAGAAAGTGAACTGCACCTTTTGTTAGGTGGATGTGCCAAGTGTCAGGGGGACAGGATGAGTTTGGTTGTATTTTCCATTTCCCCCCCCAAAAAAAACTCCAATTCAGATAGATTTCTATTACATGGCATAGACATGTGGAACTCTGTTGGGTTTGCATACTCTTAAGCATAGTGATGAGTTTCTACATGTGTCAGACATGTGGCTGACGTAAAAAAGTCTCACTCACTAATCAAATCCCACACGTGAACAATGCCCATTTGGGCCCAATGATTGACAAGAGTGGGCATCTGTACCCCCACGAGAGGAGAAAAAGAATCTGCCTCCTTCAGGAAAGTGAGCAGGCTGGAACAGAAGCAAACCCACACACTGTGCTGTTTAAAAAGATAAATGAATCCTTGCATTTTCATACAAGGATGTCAGAAGGAATGACTCAAAGAGCTTCACAGGATTTATTCTCATTGAGTAGTGACCGTGTATTTTGTAGGCAATTCAGCAGGCAATTTGTGCGCAGCAATGTCCGACAAACAGCAACAATGTGATTGACCTTTTTTTTAATCCTGGGAATGTTGGCCAGGACATCGTGTAAGATTATATTTGTGATGTTTACTGTTTTTAAGGCTTTTAATTAGACTTTATATACTTTTTAGAATGTAGCTAAACACTTATAATATTTTTAGTGTCGCATTTCTTAATTACTATGGCTGTTTGTTTTAATGACCAGCTTAGGGCCCCGGAGAGGGTTGTGGTAATTAGTGTTAGCAAAGGAAAAGATATATTGGCTTGACCCCGGCTGAGATCAGGTTCTGGGTAACTTTCCATCGTTTGGTTCCTGGGTACATGTGCCAATTAGCATTAGTGAAGGTAAAGATATATTGGCTTGACCCAACTGAGGTCTGATTACATTTCACATTTTTCTTGGGAAGATATTCACTCCTCTGAGATAATTAATCAGATACTGAGCACAGATGTGGAAACAAAAGACCAAAAGAAAAGTTTAGAGGCTCCCTCAGAACCTGCTTATCTCAAGGATGAGAAACATGCAGGCCGGAGAAGGCTGCCAAAACCAAAAGTTGGCCATCTCTCTTTCTCCCTAACAGTTCTTTTCAGTTGGGAAAAGAGCCTACTCAAGGTCGCTAGCAGCTTGCGAAGGGTGGGGGCTTCATTCTCTGTGACAAGCAGAGGTGGAGTTAGAAACACATAAGAGAGGTAACTTTGGAATAATTGGGAGTCAACGTAGAGAGTCAACACTTCTTCCCAGTGGGATCGGGTAATATCAATTTTACTGTATCTATGGTCTCAGTTAGAATGATAAGCCAGGCTAGTTTGTCCGACTATCTGGCTGCCTGTATTATTTAATAAACTTTGAATTATTACACCACCTTATAGGTTGTCTCCATCCAAACATCTTACAACCAGGAGAATTTCCCTTCTCTTCTTCCGTAGTGGCAGGACTCCTTTAACGTCCATTATAACAAGCAGATGGAACCATAGAAGGACTGCGTCTCTGATAATGCAGCTTTCCCCCCAGCACTGTAATCTAACGTCAGCCTCGACAGTGAGCTCAAAGCCCCAATGTCGGGTTTGAACCCACAACCTTCTGACTCAGAAGCGACCACCTGAATCAGGCTAACACCTAATTATTTAAAAGAGTATTTAATTTCATTCTCTGGAAAAAGAAATCAAGAGTTCTATAGTCTAGTGGTAAGTGTGATCGCTTCGCAAACGAGAGGACCTGGGTTCAATTCTCAGCAGGGCAAAACCTTAGACAAGTTTCCTTAGTCCACACGCCTTTGTATATCTAGCAGTAAGTAGGACCCCAGTAGTTAGTTGATTGGCAGATTGCTTTCTAGGGGTAATCATCCCTCACACAAAAAGAAATTGGTCACTCAATCCACAACTCTTTGTGGGACACTGCTGGGCGCAGACTACCATGTTTCACCCACAAATACACAATCCATCCACTTTACCACAAATATTCTGCTCAGCACTTTGAGACAACTCAACGACGTGATGAGGTGCTATACCAAATGCAAGGTTTATTGTAAAACAAGAAAGCATCCTTACCTTTTGTCAAGTGGTTCAGGATGGGGTCGGGGTGGGTGGGGGAGTTGCAGGGCAGACGATCAGGATTCCCAAAAAATATCCCGTTCGTTGAAGCTCTTTTTAACTATGATTTGGGTCTCCGGTTGTTCCATAGAAAATCCAGAAATGAAACGCTGTATGATCATAATACAACTCCTTGAAGCAAAAAAGGCAAGAAACAAACAGGTTAATCTAAATATTACAATATATTAATAATTATATTGTTGTCTGGCCTCCTCTCCTTGTCCTCCGAGTCCTCTGCTCCACCCTCGGTGGCCGTGCCTTCAGCCACTATGCCCCGACGCTCTGGGATTCCCTTCGCCTCGTCCCCTCTCTTCCTACTTTCAGATCCCTTCTGAAGACCTTTCCTTTCGACCGCGCCTTTGGTCGCTTTCCTCCCCCTCCCCCTGGCTCGGCCACGGGATCCGTTACTGTAAAGGGCTCTGAGACGCAGTCTGGCATGGAGGGCGCTAAATAAATCCAAGTTGTTGTTGGTGTTGTCATTCAATCCACAACTGTTTGTGGAATACTGCTGTGTGCGAATGGCTGCTGCATTTCGCCCACACAACATAGTCGCTACACTTTACAGTGTATTCTGTGAAGTGCTTTGAGACGTCTCGAAGACGTGATAAGGCGCTGCTATATCAAATTTAAGGATTATTTTTATTACTCTGGGTTAATCCACTCAACACAGTAGTCAGAGTCTAAATGTTACTTTATAAAAAACTCATGTATAGGGAGAAATTCAACCCAAGTCTGGATTGATTTCATTTTGTTTAGCTTTCTGAGCACCGTGTTTCGCCTACAAAATACACAGTCAATTCACTTTAAGGTATATATAGTCTGTGAAGCATTTTAAGACATCTCGAAGACATGATAAGGCACTGCTATAATCAAACACAAGGACTATTATTATTATTATTATCAAAGACATGGGCAAGTTTTTAAATGTGGCTTCAATATTTGAAGTGGGTTTTCTGTAAATTCTTGTTAAGGGGTACACAAAAAAGTTTTTCAAAGTTAATTTAAATTTGCGACATTTCGCACTCTTAAAAGACCCAGGTGGAATTTCACCCCAGTAAAGTCTTAACAAAAATACATTTTAAAAAACTCGCTCAAAACTAAATGTTTAAACCTGATTTAAAATCCACGCGGAAGCAAAGAGGGTTGTTTTTTTTTTGGTTTAACTGTGAAAACGCAATTCTTTTAAAGTTCTATTGTTCTGGTTAAAAAAAAATAACATTTTAAGAAACACTTTGGAACAAAAGAGCGCATTCAAGTCGCTCTCAGCTGTTAAGCGCACCACATCAGAAACACAACCAACAAACCAGCCCTTTTCTTCAACTACCCACACAAAAAAAAACTACATTAAAATATAAAATTGTGACTTTTTTTTCTTAAAATAAAAAAAAATCAAGAAATCTTACCTGGCAGGAAAGTGAAAGCTTGTTCCAATGAAGTGTAGGTCTTTTGATTCCAAGTGGCTTCAGGATTGAAGCCTAGGGTATCTTGTGTGGAGCTGGTTTGCTCTGTGCCTTGTCCTCTGGATGTGTGTGTGTGTGTGTGTGGAAGCTCTTGGCTCTGGTTCCAAGCCCTTTAAACAGAGAACCAGCTGAGAGGAGGTGCTTCAGCAATGCTTAACAAGAGGCAGCCACTGATCTCATTGCATCTCACAGCCAAACACACCCTCATCCAAGCCACAAAAGGATCTCTCTCCCCCTGTCTGTCTCCCCTTGCTCTGCTGTGAGCCCACCCACCCACCACTCTCTCTCCCCCCACCACCCTCACTTCAACTGAGCTACAGTTTTCTCTTTGTCTCCCATTCTTTGCCCATCTCCTCTCTCCCCTGCTCCTCTCTCATCCTCCCTCCCACTCATCCCCCACGCAAAAAAAAAAAAAAATTTGCCTGCAGATGTGTCATCACCCATCTATTGCAAAGTAAACTCGTCACTGTTATTGTTGTGTGTTTTTTTTAAAAAATCTCACTTCCTGGTTACTAAAATTACACTAAAATGTAAGACGCCTTCTCTCCTCTCTGGATATAGGGACACTTTTATTATTTAAATACCCCACACAGCTTTTTTTGGACCCCCAGCACATGCTTTGACTAATATCCACTGCCCATTAACTAACCGCAATGGGTTGTTTCTCCCCATACACACACAACCACACCGGTCATCTTGGGTAGTGATATTACTCTCTGAGCCTCTGAGCCAGAAGGTTGTGGCTCACCTCCGTAACATCGCCCGACTCCGCCACTACCTCACCCCTCAGGCCGCTGAAACTCCTTCATGCCTTCATCACCTCCAGGCTCGACTATGCAAACGCCCTGCGTGTCAGCCTTCCCAACTCCTCCCTCCACAGCTGCAGATAATCCAGAACTCCGCAGCCCGTGTCCTCTCCTGCACGAAGCTCCGTGACCCCATCTCCCCCATTCTCGCCCGACTTCATTGGCTCCCTGTCCTTCAGAGGATCCAGTTCAAGATCCTGGTCCTCACCTACAAAGCCCTCCATGGCCTCGCCCCACCCTACCTCTGTGACCTTCTAACCAACCCCCTACCAACCCGCCCGCTCCCTCCGCTCAGCCGGCTCTGAGGTCCCATCTACCTGTACAGGTGGATGTTAAAGATCCCATGGCACTATTAGAAAATAGAAGGGAGTTTCTCCTGGTGCCCTGGCCAACAATCCTCCAAACAAAATTGGTCACTCACTTTATGACTGTTTGTGGGGCATTGCTGTATGTAAATTGGCTGCTGCGTTCGCCCACCAAATACACAGGTCTACACCTTACAGTAAATCCTTTGAAGCGCTTTGACAACAACAACAAAATTACATTGTGTGGGCAGAGAGGCTGAAAGCCCGGCCACCAATGGTGGGGCGGGTCGGGCGGGAGACATGGAGCAGGCCGGAGCCCGCTGAATGGAGGGAATGGGCAGGTTGGTAGGGAGTCAGCAGATCAGAGAGGTAGGAGGGGGCAAGGCCATGGATTGCCTTAAAGGTGCGGACGAGGATCTTGAACTCGATCCTCTGGGGATGGGGAGCCAGTGGAGTTGGGCGAGGGTGGGAGCGATGGGGTCACGGAGCCTGTCCTGAGTCTTAACAATGTGATAAAGCGCTATATGAACAAAAATAAATTGCATTTATATAGCACCTTTCATGTCAGGAGGACATCCCAAGACATTGGACATTGAAGTGCTTGTGCCCGAGCTGGGGGTTGGAGTGAAGAGGAGTGGAGGGCAAGAGTGGGTGGAGATGGGAAGATGAGAATTGTCCAGGACACCGGGAGAAATTCCTTTCTCGTTTCAAATTGTGGAATGGGATCTTTAACATCTACTTGAACAGGCAGATGGGGCCTCGTGTTAATGTCTCATCTGAAGGACGGCACCTTCAACAATGGAGCACCCTCCAGCACTGCATTGGAGTGTCAGCCTAGACTATATGAGTTCCAAGGCCCAACATGGTGCTTGAACCCATGACTTTCAGAGCGCTTAACAGTGGCGAAGCCTGACGCTGAGTCGGGGGGGGAGTGGGGATGAGGTGGCCATAAGCACAGTCAAAGAAGAAGGTTTTCAGGTGGGACTTGAAAAAGGGGAAAGAAGGGGCAAGGCGAAGAGAGAGTGTTCTAGGGCGTAGTTTCGGGGTGTATTGGCTGAAAGAGCGACCTCCGATGGTGGGGCATAGGGAGCGAGGCACGAGTAGGAGGCTGGTGCCAGTTGAGCAGAGGTGCCAGGTGGTGGATTGGGGAGTGAGGAGGTTGGAGAGGGAGGGAGGTGCCAGGGAGTGAAGGGATTTGAACACGATAGTGAGGATCTTGAAATTGATCAGTTCGGTGATGGGGAGCCAGTGGAGACTGGGCCAGAACTGGTGAGATGTGGGCACGGAGTTTAGTTCGGGTCAGTATGTGGGCGGCAGAATCTGAATGAGCTGATCCTTTGAATAGTGGAGCTGGGGAGACCGGCGAGGAGTGCGTTTGAGTAATCCAGATGGGAGGTGACAAACGCATGCACGAGGATTTCGGCTGCATTTGGGGTAAGGTACAGTCAGAGGTGGACAATTTGGTGGAGGTGGAAGAAGGCAGCCCTGGTCAGGGACAAGATATTGAGGCGGAAGGACAGCTGGTGTTCAAACCGGACCCCTAAATTGCATTGATTCGGTGAGCGTGAGGGAGAGCCCAGGGAGGTTGAGGAGTTCAGATCCGCAGGCGTGAAGATGTTGATGGAAGCCAAGGAGTATGGTTTCCATCTTGTTCACAGTCAGCAGCAGAAATTTTGCGCTCATCCAGGTCCTGATGTCTGTCAGACAAGCTGATAGAATATCGGCGGCCCTAGAGTTGGTACTGGAGGAGGCAAAGTCGATTTGTGTGTCATCCATGTGGAAGTTTACCCCATGTCTGTGGATGACATCGCCCAGAGGGAGCATATAGATAAGAAAAAGGAGAGGCCAGGGATGGAGCCCTGGGGCATCCCACAGGTGACCGGGCGAGGATGGGAGGAGAAACCATTTGCCAAGATGAAATGGAGGCAGTTGGTTAAATAGGACTCGAACCTTGCGAGTGTGGTCCCACTAAGGTGGATGAGGGAGGAGAGGCGGAGGAAGAGGATGGAAGAGGTGTGGTCAAATGTGTCGAACGTGGCAGAGAGATCCAGGAGGACGAGGAGGCAGAGGGAGCCCTGGTCACAGAGAGAGAAGATGTGACTTTGTGACTTTGACAAGTGCTGTCTCTGTGCTGTGGGCAGTCAATGTGAAAACCAGACTGCAGGGGCTCGAGGAGGAAGCGGAGGGAGAGGTGTGACCGAAGTTGACCTGCACCAATGCGTTCCAGGACTTCGGCAAGGAAGGGTAGGTTCGAAATGGGACGGTAATGTGAGAGATTAGAGGGATCGAGGGTGGGTTTTTGAGGAGGGGTGTGATGACAGCGGATTTCAGGGGGAATGGAACAGGGGGAATGGAACAGAGCCTGAGGAGAGAGGAAGGTTGACCGTATCGGCCAGCCAAGGGGGAGAGGAGGAGTTGAATGATCAACAGCTGGGTGGGGAGAGGTTCGAGGCAGCAGGTGGTGAACTTCATCCGGGTGACTGTGGTTGAGAGTAAGGAGGGAGAAATGGGGGCAAAGGCGTGAATGGAAGGAGGAGTGGCAGGAGCCATGGCGGATGGAGAAGGCGGTGTGGATGGTCTGAGTGGGGTGGAAGGGGATATGGGCGGGGAGGATGGTTGCAGCCAAGTGTATGTTTTCAATCTTTGAGGCGAAGAAGTCTAGAATGTCTTTGCGCTGTGAAAGGGAGAGTCGGTAGGTGCGGAGGAGCTCAAGCCACAGATGGCGGTGAATCGTGAGGCCATATTTCTGCCATCTGTGCTCGAGCGTCTGGGTTTGCGTTTTGAGTGAGTGGAGATGACTGTTGTACCAACGGGAGAGGGAGGGTTTGGAAACAGCCCTGGATTTCAGGGGAGCCTGGGAATTGAAGGTTGTGAAGAGGCAGTCATTCAACGGCTTGATGGCTGCATCAGGATCACTGCAGGTGGAGGGCCAGAGGGAGAGGAAGTCCAATAATAATAATAATAATCCTTGCATTTGATATAGCGTTTTTCACGTCAGGAGGACGTCCCAAAGCGCTTCACAGAAAACACTATAAAGTGAATTGACTGTATATTTGTGGGCGAACGCGGCAGCAAATTGCGCACAGCAATGTCCCACAAACAGTCGTAGATTGAAAATGATCAATTTATTATTATTTTGGGTTTTTGGAGGGATTATTATTAGGTGTGTGGAGTAAGGAAACTTGCCCAAGGTTTCGCCCTCTGCCTGGGATTGAACTTAGGTCTCTCACTTGCAAAGCGAGGGCTCTAACCACTGAGCTACAGGACTCCAAGGAAGAGAGCGCATTTATGAGGGACTCAGCTTTTTACAAGGGTGGAAATAAAAGATGAATGGCTTGGAAAAGGGTGAAGGGGATATGGGAGGAGGAGAGAGAGGAGGTAGAGGTGTTCAAAGGAGGAGAAACAGCCAGAGGATTAGAGGGATAGAATAAGGGAAGCTTGGGAAATGAGGGTCTCCACATTGGTTGGGGCAGGGGGTGTGATGAAAGGTATAGCCAGGAGGGGAGGCTTCAACGAAGGGGACGGGGTCACTGGAGGAGAGCTGGGTTTCTGTAAGCCTGAGACTATCAATGTGCTCATCCAGGATAGAGGTCATGGATAGTAAAGGCTTTGTTGGAGAGGGAACGGACATTTTGGAGGGAAATGCAGATAGGTTTGCTGGTTAAGGGGTGGTGGGATGGAAGAGATAGTGGGGGAGAAATGACCGTGGAGTTTGAGGAGAAGGGAGAGTTGGGGAGGGTATGGATGAGGGAGGGGAAGGGGTGTTTGCTTTTTGGAGGCGGTTGGTGCGAGATAGTGAGCGACGGGAGTTGGGTTGGCTACTCTGGGACAACAAATGCCAGGAGCCACGATGGGCCCTGGTGGAGGATGCCCAGGCTGGAGCAGAGGGAGGTAATGGTGAGGTCCAGGAGAGAGAGAGAAGGCAAGGAGGGCGGTGGGAGAGAAGGGCAGAGTTGGAATAGTGGAGTGTGGGGGATAGGAACAGGAACATTTTCAGGGGCAGCAGTTTTGGTTGGCGTGGCAGCCAAAACGCGCACGCAGAGACCAGGAGCGAGCGATCAGCCGGACAGCATCAGATACGAAAGATAAAGAAGATATAGGGATAGAGTGGGGCAGGGGGATTGAACGGTCAACTCGCTCTGAGAATCGGTGCAGATGAGATGGGAAAAATGGCCTCCTCTGCGCTGTAAGTTTCTATGATTCAGTCTTCCCTCTGGAGCAGAAGGTTATGGTTTCAAGCCCCATGTCAGGCCTTGAGATTCACAAATGTAGGCGCACGGATCAGGGGGAAGTGCTGGATAGTTAGAGGCACCGTTGCTGAGAGAAACTGCTCAACCCAGGTCCTGAATTGAGGGCATTCGATGAATAGATATGGCACCTTAAACCTCACCCCAAACCCAGATGCTTAGCAAAACGTCAGTGTGAGCCACAGTTCTCCCTCTCTGCACTGTTTACCACAAAACCTCTTCACTTCTGGGTACGTTACAGTGTTTCCAGAATTACAGATTTCCAGGATATTCTTAACACATTCATTACGAATACCCAAAAATAAGCTCCCAAGCGTCTAATCACTCTACTCCGCTGAGCTTCCAATCAAATCAACTAGAATCCACTTCCAATGGGTTAATGGGATTGGCTTTCATGCAAGTATGACATCAAGTGTGACAGGAAGGCGATTAGATTAGGGAAGGGAAACAAACTTAGTCGGGGTTTCAGTTCCTGATAGGAATATTTCTTAAATTAATACTGAAAGTAATCTTAAAGGATAAAAACTCTTACAAAAACAACTTGCATTTATATAGCGCCCTCCACGATGGGCAGCGTTTACAGATTAAGACCAGCTGGAATTTCAGCCCTCAGTACGTCAGACTGGAGAGCGAGGCTGGCAGTTACAGCTGGAATGGTCTGATTAATACACCGATTGTCAGACCGTTCAAGGGACTGACCTCTTCGGAAATTTCTGTTTTTGCAAAATGTAAACATATAAAGCGCAGAAACATCAGAACCGTTCTATTCCAACCCTTGTTCGCAAGCTAGGGGTTTTCCCGCAGATGCCAGGCCGCCTCCGCTTCAGCAGCAATGATAAGATGTTGTTGTCGTTGTTGACCGCTGGTGAGGCAATCTATGAGTTGAGGCTAAATGGCCTCCTTCTGTGTTGTAAGATTCTATGATTAAATTACATTTGTACAGCGCCTTTCACATCAGGGGGACAACAACAACAACAACTTGGATTTATATAGTGCCCTCCACACCGGACGACGTCTCAGAATGCTTTGGGAGGACGTCCCAAAGCACTGGACAGTCAAGGATCTGCACCCAAGGGAGTTGGGATCAGGAGGGGTTGGAGTGCTCGTGATGAAAGCTCATGATGAAAAGCCACTGGATTTGCTGATGTGGTTTGAGCTGTTTAGACAATGTGAAAGGCACTATGTGATTGCCAATTGTTGTTGTTGTTGTTTTATTATCGCAATACAATGGCGGTGCGACTACACCATCAACTGGGTCATCTGATCTCTCATCATTTGTGATAAAATCTGTCTCGAGGATTGGTTTCCAGCCAGCTGGATGCCCACCAAAACCAAGGCCAATCTTAAAATTTAAATCCCCTCATGTTTTTGTTTGTTTGTTTGTTTGTTTGTTTTAAAGCTAAGAAACTTGATTATTGAGGGATTGCCTTATTATTATGTATAAAGTTCTATGGTAAGAAATTGGGCAGGAATTTACATCACATATTCACTAAATGAATGTTTCTCCGTGACTCTTGTTATTTGGGGAGAACAAATCCCAAGGTTAGAATGATTGACCTGATGTTATTTGTCACTCTCATCTCTCTCCCTCAACTCAGGACATGAAAGTCAATAATAATAATCCTTGCATTTGATACAGTGCCTTATCATGTATTCGAGACGTCTCAAAGCGCTTCACAGAATATACTGTAATGTCAGTGGGTGTGTGGTCAGATGAGACAAGTGAGACACCAACTCACCTACAATTTCCATGTCTCACAGTGAACATTGTGAAACCAGCGAATGGGAGATGAGTGAGTTGGGTGAGTGGTCCCATCGTGGGAGCAAGTCCGGTGAGAGAGATGCCATCCAAAAAGAAAATAATAATAATAATTGGGTCACTCAATCCACGACTGTTTGTTTAGAGGACACTGCTGTGCAGTATTCTGTGAAGCGCTTTGGGACAATAGTCATTCTCAGGCTGATTATATTTGCATGGCTCATGTAACGTTCTGTGTAGGAAAATTTCCACCAGGAAGTATTTGTTTACCCAGAGGTTAATTCATGACTGGAGCAGGGTTATCAGGCAGGTCGGTTTAGGCCAAAGTTGCTGGAATCACGTTAAAAAAAAAGCTTGATGTTGTGATGGGAGGACGGGAGGTGGGTGGGTGTTTGCAAGGATGGGATCAAATGGGCTGAAGGGTCAATCTGGTAAGTATCATCTGAATATTGCTCCATGGAAAAGATCTCTGCACCTCGTGAAAGGTCATGTCAAAATATTGTTTGATATTTGAGCGGGGCAAAAACTAATGCAATTTTCTTTCGCTTTTGATGTGCAGGCTAAGATAAGGTGGAATTTCAGCCCTCGGAACGTCAGCATGGCGAGTGAGGCTGGCTGTTTCAGTTGGAATGGTCTCTAATACATCAATTGTCAGGCACTTCAAGTGACTGATCTCATCTGAAATTGCATTTTTTTTTGCAAAATGGAAACGTCGATTTATAAAATGCAGATACATCAGAGCGCGCTATTCCCACTCTTGTTCGTAGGCTGGGAGTTTTGCCACACATGCCAGCCCGCCTCCAACTCAACAGTTCATGATGAAAAGCGAGTGGGATTTGTTGGTGCGGTTTGAGCTGTTCTGACGACGTGAAAGGTGCTCTATTAATGCATGTTGTTGTATTATTATTATAAATAAAATTCTGTGGTAAGAAATTGGGCAGCAATTTGCATCACAAATTCAGTAGACTCGGTTTGCCCACAAAATACACAATCAATCCACTTTATAATATAATCTGCAAAGCGCTCTGAGACATCTGAAATGATGTGATGAGGCACTATATCAAATGCAAGGATTGTTAATCATTATTTTATATAGTATTATAGATAATTCCTTTGCCTTTTTCCCCATGACTCTGAAATGCTGTACTCTATCCAGCGCCTTGGGACGTCCTCCCGACGTGAAAGGCGCTATACAAATGTAATCTTGTTGTTGTTGTCACTTGGGGAGAACAAAACCCAAAGTTAGAATAATTGACCTGATTGATCCCAAGACGTTGAATCAATAATTGATCCAGCGCCTTGCGATGTCCTCCCGAAATGAAAGGCGCTATACAAATGTAATTTTGTTGTTGTTGCTGATGTAATTTGCCATTCTAGTCTCTCTCCCTCCCCGCAGGATGTGGAATGTCAATGGGTGCAAACAGCAATACTAGTTGGTCTACCTCACCTAGAATTGCCTCGTCTCACAGCGAGCATTGCGAGACCAGCGAATGGGAGCTGAGCGAGTTGGGTGAGTGGTCCCAACGTGGGAGCAAGGCCAGTGGGAGAGATGCCAAGACATTGTCAGGGTCCGGTTGCCGTGTAACAAGAGAGATCGATGCCATGGTAAACTCATAGATTGCCTCACCAGCCACAATGGCTGCTTATACTCGCATGGCTCACGTAATGTTCTGCTTAAGAAATTTTTTGCCCTGTGGAATATTTCATTCCTGGAACAGGGTTACCAGGAAGTGTGGTTGTATATTTTGTAGGTGAAACGCAGTAGCCAATTTCGCACAGCAGTGTCCCACAAACAGCCGTGAATTGAGTGAACAATTTTTTAATGAATTTATTTTGAAGTGATATTACCTCCGGAAAAGCAATCCGCCAAACAACTGACAACAACCACAACAAAATTACATTTATGTAGCGCCTTTCACGTTGGGAGGACGTCCCAAGGCGTTGGACAGATAGAGTTATGGACCTGAGCTGAGGGTCAGGGTGAGGGAGGGGGAAGGGAGGGAGGAGGGCAGGGGGGGAAGCAGGCAGATCGAAAGCAAGGTCAAAGAGGAGGGTCTTGAGGTTGGGCTTTGAAGGTGAGGACCAGAATCTTGAACTGTATCCTCTGGGTGATGGGAAGCCAGTGGAGTTGGGCGAGGATGGGGGTGATAGGGGCGGGGAGCCTGTTGCAGGAGAGGACATGGACTGCAGAGTTCTGGATGATCTGCAGCCTGTGGAGGAAGGAGTTTGGGAAGCTGACAAGCAGTGAGTTTGCACAGTCGAGTCTCGATGTAATGAAAACATGTATGAGGGTTTCGGCAGGTGAGGGTGTGGTGTGAGACAGTGTCGGAGCCGGGTTTCTAATTACTGCTCGGTAAACAGAGGCCTGCGGAGTAAGGAAACTTGCCTAAGTTTCGCCCTGCCCGGGAATCGAAGCCGGGTCCTCTCGCTTGTGAAGCGAGTGCTCTAACCGGACCCCATTTTGCCCTCACCCTGTGGAGCACTCTTCCAAAATCAGTTCTCCTCACCTCCTCCCCCTGCTTTCAAAGCCTCTCTCTTTATCTTCTCCCAAATCTCACAGCTTAGGCTGACAGTCGATCTTTGCGAAGATGAGATTGCTTTACTATCTGTGTGAAAGGTGCTATATATCCTTCTCATTTGGTAGCATAGGTCATGATATAGTAAGCCCATATAGCATGACATAGTCATTTTTAGGAGGCTAATTTATAGGAATTTAAATCCAAAGCTTTGTAGTTAAACATTAATTATTATCGCCAGTTTGTGCATTTGTGCAATTGCTGCATCAAACAAATGCAGAATGTTATCCTGGTCTCTTGCGGCAGCACCTCTCGCCTGTGAGTCAGAAGGTTTAAGCCCCACGTAGGGACTTTGAATCAAATAGTCTAAGATGACCACAACAACTTGGATTTATATAGCACAGGGTAGCGTCCTAGAGGGACATGGAGAGACTGGAGCCAGTTGAGCAGAGGCAGCGGGTTGTGGGGTAAGCAGGTCGGAGAGGCATGAAGTGATTCGAAAACGAATGTGAGGATCTCGACACTTCAATCCAGTGCTTCGGTGGGGGAAGGTTGCATTGTCGGAGGTGAAGTTGCCGACCTTTGGATGAGATGTTGATCCAAGATCCCGGCGTCCGCGCTGCCCACAGCATGGAAACAGCCCTGGTCAAAGTCACTAATGACGTTCTGAACATCTGTGACCAGGGCTCCCTCTGCCTCCTTGTCCTCCTCGACATCTCTGCCGCCTTCAACACTGTCTCGACCACTCTATCCTCATCCAACGTTCTCCTCTTCACTTAATCTTCATGGATCTGCCCTTGCCTGGTTCGATTCCTATCTTTCTCACCGTCTCCACTTTGTTGCCTCTAACGGTTTCTCCTCCAGCCCCCCGCACTGTCACGTCTGGTGTCCCCCAGAGCTCTGTCCTTGGCCCTCTCCTCTTTAATATCTCCATGCTCCCCCTCGGTGACATCATCCGCAGACATGGGGTCAACTTCCATATGTATGCGGATGACACCCAACTCTATCTTTTTGCCTCCACCCTCAACTCCAGGACCACTGCTGTCCTGACAGACTGTCTGTCGGACATCAAGTCCTGGATGAGGGCAAATTTCCTACAGTTGAATGTGAACAAGACTGAGGCCCTCCTGATTGACTCACGCCAACGCCTCAGCACCTCAGGCTCTGGCGCCATCAACCTCCATGGTTGCACACTACAACTCACCAAGCCAGTCAGGAACCTGGGGGTCTTGTTCGACTCTCAACTGTCTTTTCTTCCCGACATCCAAGCCATGACCCGCTCTGCCTTCCCTCACCTCCGTAATATCGCCCAACTCCGCCACTACCTCACCCCTCAGGCCACTGAAACTCTTGTTCATGCCTTCATCACCTCCAGGCTCGACTATGCAAACGCCCTGCTTGTGGGCCTTCCCAACTCCTCCCTCCACAGCTGCAGATAATCCAGAACTCTGCAGCCCGTGTCCTCTCCCGCACCAAACTCCGTGACCCCATCTCCCCCATTCTCGCCCGACTGCATTGGCTCCCTGTCCTTCAGAGGATCCAGTTCAAGATCCTGGTCCTCACCTACAAAGCCCTCCAAGACCTCGCCCCACCCTACCTCTGCGACCTCCTAACCCCCTACCAACCCGCCCGCTTTCTCCGCTCAGCCGGCTCTGGGCTGCTCCACGTCCCCCGACCCACCCGCCCCATCATTGGTGGGAGAGCCTTCAGCCACTCTGCCCCCAACTTCTGGAATTCCATCCCCCAGTCACTCCTCGTCGCCCCCTCCTTAGCCTCCTTCAAGTCCTGCCTCAAAATCCTCCTCTTCGACCATGCCATCGGCCATCCCCCTTCCCCTCCCCTCCCTTCTCCCCCCTCCCCCTCCCCCAGCTCGCGTCTGAAATGCTGTACTCTGTCCAGTGCCTTGGGACGTCCACCCGACGTGGAAGGCGCTATACAAATGTAATCTTGTTGTTGTTGTTGTTGTTGTTGTCTGTTCAGGCGGACATTAAAGATCCCATGGCACTATTTGAAAAGAGAAGAGAGTTTCTCTCCCCTGGTGTCCTGGCCAATGATCCCCCACATAAAATTGTTCACTCACTGCGTGGCTGTTTGTGGGCCATTGCTGCCGTCTTTCACCCACGAAATGCACAGTCAATCCACAATACAACACAGTACTACAAAGCTACATTGGTATAGTGACTTTCACGTTGTATCGTACACAGTCAATCCACATTGCAGCATATTTTGCGAAGCGCTTTGAGACGTCTGGACAACTTGATTTGTGTCAGCTTAGACTAAGTGATGCCAAGTCTCACCGTGGAACCTGAACCCGTAACCTTCTGATTCAAAAGCCGGACAAGAGTGCTACCAACTGAAGCATTAAATCATTATATATAAACCTTCCCCTCGCCTCTGACCAGCCCTCTTTGGCCATTCGTTGCTGAAGGAGCTTTCTGCACTGGGTGTGTTCTCGGTCTCCAATGAGAGCTTTGGAAGCGAAGGCGTTTGACTTGTTGTCCCAGCCCTGACTCAGCTGATCTGAGAAATGCCAAGTCACAAGCCAGAGCAACTTGGGAACACAACACGTCGCAGCTTAAACCATCTGCTGTTTATCCTGCAAGGTTTAAGCGGATACAATTACAAAAAAAAACCCCACATGTTGTTCAGAGTTAATACCCTGTGACTGCATAAACACTGACAGTAACATGGACAAAGTGTGTTCTCAGTCATACTCTGAATGCGACGTGGAACACAGACAGAGCTGTTGGATCACTTCAGGTGCAGGAATTTCTTAATTGCAGTTTAAGAAGTAGCTGCGACAGCATTGTTTTTTGCAGCCGATAACTTAGTCCGAATCGCACAAGAAATGAAACGAAATTTTCCACGGGCTAAAAAAAAAATTACCGCCTGCACAATCTGCATTTTTTTTATTAATATTTACTTAATATTGAAACGAAAGCTTGGGTGCGAGTAATACTGCAAAAATGTATGGGAAATAGTGATACAACAACATTATATTTGTAATAGCGCCTTGCACGTCGGGAAGACGTCCCAAGGCTGAGGACAATCAGTGTTTATTATTATTATTAATCATAATATTAATAATTATTAATCATAATATTAATAACTATGAATCAGAATAATAAATATTAATCATCATAATAATTATTAATCATCATAATTAAATATAATATAATCATAAATATAATCATAAATATAATAACAATATAATAATAAATATAATCATAAAAAAATTAATAATAATCCCTCCAAAAAACGAAACAATAATAAATTGGTCATTTTCAATCTATGACTGTTTGTGGGACATTGCTGTGCGCAATTGGCTGCCGCGTTCGCCCACAAATATATAGTCAATTCACTTTACAGTGTGTTCTGTGAAGCGCTTTGGGACGTCCTCCCGACGTGAAAAGCGCTATATCAAATGCAAGGATTATTATTATTATTATAATAATTATTAATCATCATAATAATTATTAATCATCATAATAATTATTAATCATCATAATAATACCTACCCATTTGTGGGTCCCTGTTTCAAAAAGTTTCTTTTCTAATCGACCTAATGACCAGTCGAGACTAGTCAAGTAACAGCAAATAAAACTATTTGGCACTTTGAAAAGTGGGGGTAAAAAAAAACCCCACACACATTAGTGTAGAAACTCTCAGATCATGTATCTCTCTCTCAGACAGGATGAGACTTATAGCAGAGTTCTAAGCATATTTATTTCAGATGGACAGTGTCCAGAACACACACACACACACACACATTGTACTGTACTGTAGTGCTGTAATATTTATGCTCGTTTGGCAACTGCTCGGGTTTTGCAATAATAGCATCTTCACGTGCTTTAAGTGGGTAATGGAACAAGCAATGCCTCTGGATGTTGTGTCACATCAGCTGTGAAACAAATCAACCAATGCCACTCACGCACTCTTGCTCAGATAAGTATAAATGCAGACAGCCCAGCTCAGCAATCACTGAGTTAATGAAAATGCACCGCATTTACTGGTTAAACCCTGGACTATCGCTCAAACTTTGCTGCTTGTTTACATAACTCCACTCACTCAGCACCAGGTAAGTTACATAGTCTGCTCTGCCTACGCTTAAAATCTGTATCTCTCTGTCCACATTGAGTTATTAGTCACCTGCTTAGTGGAGATAACGATGCTCATCAAAATAAACTACACAGGATTGCAATCGCAGTTTACATCGGTTACATTTACTGTAAGTTAAAAGCTACCAAACTAGGATGTGGTTTAATGTCCTAATCGTTTGAGTGAGAATAAAGTTAAATAAACTATCGTTTGAGTGCGAATAAAGTTAAATAAACTACCGTTTGAGTGCGAATAAAGTTAACTAAACTACCGTTTGCGTGAGAATAAAGTTAACTAAACTATCGCTTGAGTGCGAATAAAGTTCTCGAGTTTGATCACACATTGTTTATTACAAAAGTAATGTGCCTCCTTGCGAGTTCCCAAATAAATATGTGTTTTTTTAGTAATCGCGTTAAATAACAAGTCGAGCTTTAACTGACGATGCTTTGACTTCAACCTGCTTTGACTCTCTCTGATGGGTGGTAGATATGTAGGTGAGTACTATATTTAGCTCTGCTTTATTTATGATCTGAACACCCTCTTGTTTTGATTCCTATATATAACTTTTTTTTTCGTAGGGAAATAAATTTAAACCCACCAACGCTGCTGCGTTCAGCGAATATAATGGCCCTTGCAGTTTAAGATTGAAACTTACTGAAAAGTGAGTGATGTTTGGGGAATTTTTTTCGAACATGCATTAAAAAAAAACATGTATAAAGCTATCCTTGCAACTATCTTCTGGTTGTGTTAAAATGTGTTCCCAGGGTTTGAAGCTGATTCCAGAGACCTTGCCTGTTGAACAACCACCCACATATATATATATAAACGCTTGATTTCTGGATCTGGGCTTGAAAATCAAATCAGAATCACATTGAAAATGGTTGGATTCAGACCCACTGATGTCCCCCCGACGGCTGCTGTCAAGTTCCTGGGGGCTGGCACTGCGGCTTGTGTGGCTGATCTGGTTACCTTCCCTCTGGACACTGCCAAAGTCAGGCTGCAGGTAACATTGCTGGTGAACATGTGGGGCTGTGTTCAATTAAAACGTCTATTCTGCATTAGAATGAGATGCAATGCAAATCTAAGCTGACACTTCACTGCAGTGCTTTGGGGAAGGGTGGGGAGAGAGAGAGTTGGGACTCGCTTTAAAAAAATAAGTTAGTCACTCAATCCTTGACTTGATATGCTGTAAAGTGCAATGACTGCAATAATAATAATAATAATAATCCTTGCATTTGATATAGTGTTTTTCACGTCTTCTCGACGACTCAAAGCGCTTCATAGAATGGACTGTAAAGTGAATTGACCGTATATTTGTGGGCGAACGCGGCAGCCAATTGCGCACAGCAGTGTCCCACAAACAGTCGTGGATTGAAAATGACCAATTGATTATTGTTTTGTTTTGGAGGGATTATTATTAGGCTCTGTGTGGAGTGAGGAAACTTGCCCAAGGTTTCGCCCCCTGTCTGGAATTGAACCCAGGTGTCTCGCTTGGAAGGCGAGTGCTCTAACCACTGAGCTACAGGACTCCACGATTTGCAAGCGATCGCTGCAGCCTATTTGCGAACAGCAATGTCCCACAAACTCCCATGAAGCGAATGACCAATTTTATTGTTGGCCAAGGACACCAGGAGATTTGTGGAGTCCTGTAGCTCAGTGATTAGAGCACTCGCCTCGCAAGCGAGAGACCTGGGTGCGATTCCTGGTATGGCAAAATGTTGGGCAAGTTTCCACACTCCACCTGCCTCTGTTTACATAGCAGTAAGCAGGACCTGGTTGTTAGTTGATTGGCGGGAGTAATAATTCTTTGAAAAAAATAAATTGGTCAATTTAACCCACGACCGTTTGTGGGACACTGCTGGGCGCAATGGGCTGCCACGTTTTGCTCACAAAGTGTACAGTCAATTCACTTTACAATTTATTCTGTGAAGCGCTTTGAATCGCCTCAACGACGTGATAAGGCGCTATATCAAATGCAAGGATTATTATTATTATCAAATGCAAGGATTATTATTATTGTTGTTACCTCTCTGGGTTGTTAAACCTGTCTGTCCAAATAGGTAGGTGTTAAAGATCTCCCTGGGCACTATTTGAAAAAGGGAAGGGCCAACAATCTCCCAGATGAAATTGATCTCTGGAACTCCTCTCCTGCAGCGCCTTTTGTCTCGTCTCCTTCACGATCCACCTCAAGACCTTCGGCCATCTTTTCCCACTCCTGTTGCCCTCCACCCCTCCAGAATCCCATCCCCAGGTCAGGTGCAAACTCTCGATTGTGCAGCACATTGAGACGACATCCTGATGTGAAAGGTGCTCCATAAATGCAATTTGTTGTTGTTGTTGTTGTTGAATCACTTCAATAGTTGTCTGAGGAATCCCACAGCATAGCTCGCCTCGCAAGCGAGAGACCTTGGTTCAATTCCTGGGCAGGAGCGAAACCTTAGGCAAGTTTCCTTACTCCAGTTAATTTAGAATTTATACTCGCAACGTATAAAGTAAAACAATACATCGTATTCGCAGAGCAGAGTCCCAGGATTGTCTGTCCACCATTATGCCACGTTTCATGCTGTTTGTAAGTAACAAACATCATCACATTCCAGGATCCTATCCATAGGAACGACGGCATAAACCTGCATCAAGGTCAACAGTAGTTATTATATGTACACATTTCAATTTGTACACTAGATGGGGAAAAGGCAAGTTAGGCGAGTTTCCTTACTCCACACGTCTCTGTTTACCGTGCAGTACGTAGGAACCCGTTTGTTAGCTGATTGGCGGATCACTTACTTGGGATAATAATCCGTCCATTTATATAATCCTTGTGTTTGATATAGCGCCTTATCACATCTTCGAGACCTCTCAAAGCACTTCACAGAATGTATTGTAAAGTTAATTGACTATATTTTGTGGACGAAATGCGGCCATTTAATTTGGGCCACTGATTCCACGACTCTGGGACAAAATACAGTGATTGCACTTTACAGTATATCCTGTGAAGCGCTTTAAGATGTCTCAACGACATATGGCCCTATGTTAAATGCAAGTATTATTATGTTGCCTCGTGCAGATCAGCTACAAATCCTTGCAATTGACAATGCTTCACAATGTGCGCAAAACTGAGGCCCTCCTGATTGACTCGCGTCAGCGCCTCCGCACCTCAGGCGCTGACAGCATCAGCATCCAAGGCTGCACTCTCCACCTCTCAAAGCCGGTCAGGAACCTCGGGGTTCTGTTCGACCCTGAGTTCTAGATTTCCGCTACCCTTTGCGTGGGAAAAAGTGCTTCCTGATTTCACTCTTAAACTAATGTAACTTGTACACGTTTTGATTTTATTTGACCTATCTTTATTTCGCTGTGGCAAATTTACATGTTTTGTTATCCAGAGATCCTCCACCATAGCTATTTTGCGCATTCATTGTTCATTATGTGTAAAATAGCTATATTTTGATTCCCGTCAGGGCGAAAGCTTGGGCAAGTTTCCTTACTCCACAGGTCTGATAATAATCCCTCAAGAAAAAAAAACAATAATAAATTGGTTACTTCAATCCACGTCTGTTTGTGGGACGCTGCTGTGCGATTGGCTGCCGTGTTTCTCCCACAAATATATAGTCAATTCACTTTACAGTATATTCTGTGAAGCGCTTTGAGATGTCTGAAAGATGTAAAAAGCGCTATATCAAATGCAAGGATTATTATTATTTGTATCAATATTAATGGACATTAGGGAGTTATTTTCAAAAGTTTTTTTTGACGTCCTATAGAACTAGTTTCACAATTGATACCACTGAGTTATATCCAAACAAATACGTAATGAAACGTTCATTTGATATAGCACCTAATGTTAATGTCTCAAAGCGCCTCAAATTAATTGAGTTGAGATCACAAGATTGGTTTAAATGAAGGAGACCCTTTGGCCCACACACTTTAAACGAGTCCAGTGTCCTGGCCTCTACCATCTTTCTTGGCAAACTGTTCCAGTCTTTAATCAGCCTGTGAGAAAATCGGAACAGGAGGTAATCTATACTACAATGCAATGCTGGGGGTACACTGTGTTATTGGAAACTCCATCCTTCAGATCAGACATTAAACCGAGGCCCCATCTGCCTGTTCAGATCTACTAAAGATCGCAGTGTACAGCTTGAGAATGAGGACCGGTGATCTACACTGACCTGACATTCTCAATATAGCCCAGTATCCTGTTTGCCTTGTTTGCTGCTGCCTTGTACTGTTTTGTCGTGATTGAGCGCTAATCAAAATTTGTCCACAAAAGTGACAGCCAATTTATGCCCAGTATTTATGTCCCACAAAGAGTCAGAAGGTGAATGACAAATTTAACTCCGCGATTTATTGCCAGGAGAGTTTCCCTTCTCTTTCCAAGTATTGTCGTATGATCTTTCGTGTCAACCTAAACAGATTTAAACAGGTTTTGTGTTCAAATCCCTTCACTCCATGGCACCTCCCTACCTCTCCAACCTCCTCACTCCCCAATCCACTAACTAGTGCTTCTGATCGACCAGCACCAGCCTCCTGCTCATCCCTCGCACCCTCCGCCATTACGCCCCAAAACTCTGGAATGCTCTCCTTCAATTCCTCCGCCTTACCTCCTCTCTCCTCTCTTTCAAGTCCCGCCTGAAAACCTACCGCTTCGACTGTGCTTATGGCCACCTTACACCTCCCCCCGGCTTGGAGTCAAGCCCTGACACTGTCAAGCGCTCTGAGACTCTACCCTGCGTGGAGGGCGCTATATAAGACAAGTTGTTGTGGTTGTTTAAAGGATGGCACCTTTGTCAATGCAGCTCTCCTGCAAAACAATGCTGGAGCTCAGAGCCCCAAACACTTGAAATGGACAGTGGAATGTCAGTGTGACCGCCTTTATTTGTATGGTTCCAGGTAAAGGCCACCAAATAAAAATAATAACAATGTGGTCACTCAATCCACGACTGTTTGTGCGCAATTGGCTGCCACGTTTCGCCCACAAAATATACAGTCAATTCGCTTTACTATTTATTGTTATTATTATTATATTCTGTGAAGCGTTGTGAGACGTCTCGAAGACGAGATAAGCCACTTTATCAAATGCCTGATCACGGATGGTTAGGTTAAGCGCTCGGGGTGGTGGGGGGGCAGCCCGTGTGTAGACGCTATATAAATGCAAGTTGTTGCAAGTTCAAATTGAGCTCATTCCTCCAGATTCAAGGAGAATCCAAACTTGCCACTGAGGCGAAATGTTTGAAGTACAGAGGGGTCTTTGGCACAATGGCGACAATGGTGAAGACTGAAGGAGCGCGAAGCCTCTACAACGGTCTGGTGGCTGGTCTGCAACGTCAGATGAGCTTTGCTTCTGTGCGCATTGGGTTGTACGATTCTGTCAAACAGTTATACACTCGGGGATCTGACCGTAAGCAATGAATGAATGGAAACGTTATCTTTGTACACAGTATTTTCGTTAATAAGAGACAAACTAAATTATATCCTTGGTATTTTTTTCCAGCTGTGAGTATTACCTGTCGGTTACTTGCTGGCTGTACAACAGGAGCCATGGCTGTCACGTTGGCACAACCGACCGATGTGGTCAAAGTTAGGTTTCAAGCGCAAGTGAGTGTAGACGGCGTGAACAAGAGGTACAATGGAACGATCCATGCCTATAAAACTATTGCCAAGGAGGAGGGAATTCAAGGGTTGTGGAAAGGTTTGTGAAACGTTATTTCAATGCACTAATGGAGTCGCACTGTTATTCATGTTGAGGGTTCATATTGGGGATTAAAACTGAGTTGATATTGTTCTACTGTCTATATGATGATGATTATAATAATAATCCTTGCATTTAATATAGCGCCTTATCTCGTTGTCAAAATGTCTCAAAGAGTTTCACAGGATTTTACTGTCAAGTGTAGTGACCGGGTATTTTGTGGGTGAACCTAGCAGCACAATTTGTACACAGCAATGTCCCACAAACAGCCATGGAGTGATTGACCAATTTTATTGGGGAGGGGGAGGGAGATTATTGGCCAGGACACTTGGGAGAAACTCCTGTTGTATTTAGTAGTACCAGGAGATCTTTAAGCTCCACTTGAGCAGGCAGACAGGGACCTCGGGTTAATTTCTCATCTGAAGAACCGTGTTTCTGATGATGCAGTTCAGCACTGAACTCAAAACCAATTTAAGCGCAATATCTTTCTGGGTGAAGGGGACCAGGACTTAATTAATACTGGAGGATTCGAGTGGCTGGTTTACTGGAATAGAGGGGATTAGATTTGCCTCTTGAATCTCGAGTTGAGTCAGTTCATCTACATGAACAAGTTAGCCATGTCCTGCAGCTCTATCTGAATATATGTAAAAGGCCAGTTCAAGTTTCTCCTTCCAATAACAATGTGAGGCAGCAATACACAAGGCAAACAGGATGCTGGGCTACATTGCTAAATCAGTTGAGTTTAGATCCCGAGACATGATTCTCAGACTATACAATGCTCTGACTATACCTCACTTTGAGGACTGTATACAGTGCTGGTCACCTTGAAGCTCAGGCTCTATAGGTGGTGCCAAAGAGAGCAGAGAGGGTGAACCCCAGTGTTAGAGGGATGAGCTGTGAACAATGTTTAGAAAACCTAGGGCTCTTTAGTCATGGGAGAACACGACTCACAGTGGGAATTTCATAGAGGTGTATAAAGTTTTTATGGGGTTGAAAAAGTAAACCCTGATCAACTCTTCAGACAGAGGATGTTGGTTTAGAGTTATAAAGGACATTTTCAGGACAGACACCCGGAAGTTTTTCTTTACTCAGAGAGTAATCAATGACTGGAACAAATTGTCAGGAAAGATGATGGAAGTCAGGACACTGAACTCAATTTTATAGCTTGATGCAATGAAGAGGGGATGGTAGGGTGAGTGTTCTGGAGGGATGAAATCTGATGGGTCAAAGGGGCTTCTTCATCCAGACCAATCTTGTCAAAATAACGGTTTGTGAATTGGAATTGCAGCTGAGCTAAACCTGATTCTGAGGTCTAACCTGATTTGCCTACAAAAAGAGTACACAGTTACTCCACTTTACAGTATATCCTGGGATATCCTTCTGACGTGAAAGGCACTATATCAAATACAAGCTTTATTATCTATTCTATAATGGGAATCAGGAATAGCAATTCTACTTCCCAATACAATGCTGAAATCTAAGTTGGCGGTTGAGACTAGCAAACAGCTTAGATTATATTCATAAGAGACTGAATATAATCTCAGCATCATAACTGTGTTGAGACACTGATCGGATTCAATCCATCACCCTTTTAAAGTTTACCTGGGTCAACCACTGCCGCCTAACCATGGAATAGATTCAGATTTGGTCAAGGAAATAAATAATGCACGTGTTAATTTTTCTGGATTTTCCCTCATCATCCCAGGCCTCTAAGTAGGGGTGGAAAGATATTGAATTTGTATGACTATTTTAAATCGTGTGGAGTAAGGAAACTTGCCCAAGGTTTCGCCCTCTGCCTGGAATTGAACCCAGGTGTCTTCGCTTGCAAGGCGAGTGCTCTAACCACTGAGTTGCAGGACTCCAGGATGAATTTGGGTGTCACAATGCATCCTAAAGCCAGGTTGTAACGTAAGGTCTCTCTGCACTCTTGTACTGCATTGGCAGGCAATTCCTTGAATATTTGGAGGACAAATGAGCCAGAATTTGGGGTTTTAAATAGAATCGTAGGAACAGAAGGCCAGTGAACCCCTCGAGTCTGTTTTATAAGATCATGGCTGATCTGTATCTCAACAACAACTACCCACCTTTGCCCCATATCCCTTGATACCCTGACCTAACTTCCACTGGAAAATCGGCAGGGTATAAATTGAAAAATAAATTTATTTTAAAATCTGACTTATCATCTTGGATCTCTCTTGTTTTGCAGGTACTCTGCCAAATATTGTCCGCAATTCCATTGTGAATTGCGCAGAGCTGGTGACCTACGATTTGATCAAGGAGGCACTGGTGGGAAACCAGATCATGACCGGTAAGAAATTAAAATATTATTCATAATAACCTTCGAATTTGACATAGCCCTTTATCCATGTTGTAGAGGCGTCTCAAAGCACTTCACAGAATACATAATAGTATTTTGTGGGTGAAACGTGGCAGTCAATTGCACACATCAGTATCCCACAAACAGTCATGGATTGAGAGAATTTTTTTATTCTTCTTAACCCTGGAAAGCAATCTGTCAATCAACTGACAACCAGGTTCCTACTTACTACTCGGGAAACAGAGGCGTGTGGAGTAAGGAAACTTGCCTAAGATTTCGCCCTCCCGGTGAATCTAATCCGGGTCTTCTCGCTTGCGAGGTGAAACTAACCAATATGATATGGGACACCAAAATGAGTTGAACCACGGGGTCAGATGAGAAACTGGAAGGACCACTTAACACTGCACACTTTTATTCTTCACAGATAACCTTCCGTGTCACTTCTCTTCTGCCTTTGGTGCCGGATTCTGCACAACCATTGTTGCCTCACCTGTTGATGTAGTGAAGACAAGATATATGAACTCTGCCCCAGGCCAGTACCGCAGTGCCTTAAAATGTGCCTTCATCATGTTCACAAAGGAGGGTCCTACAGCCTTTTACAAAGGGTAAGCAGTTATATAAAAATTCAACATCACAATTCCTTTTTTAAGTTGCATTCACAATTGTAAAGAACCTTGTTCTGTTTTGTATCAGGGAAAAAGGGGTAGGAGTAGAAAAATAATAATCCTTGCATTTGGTAAAGTGCCTTTCACATCACAGGGGACATATCACAAAGCACTTCAGAGGATATGCTGTAAAGTGACTGTGTTTTTGTAAGCAGCCCTTTTGCGCACAGCAATGTTCCCTCAAACAGCCACGGACTGAATGACTAATTGGTTCTGGGTAATTGTTACCCAGGACATTGAGATCTTTAATGTCTATCCAAACAGGCAGATGGTACCTCGGTTTAATGTCTCATCTGAAGGACAATGTTTCCAATAACACAGTATACCCCCAGCACTGCATTAGAGTGTCAGCCTCGACTGAATGAGTTAAAAGTTGGCTTGAACCTGTGGCTTTCTGACTTCATGAGAGTGCTACTAACTGAGCCAGGCTGACAACTGATGAAATTTTGAAGCTCCTCTGAAATGGTGCATTTTTTTTGGTAATTCTTTTTATTTACATATACTGCCTTATCACGTCATTAAGACATTTCAAAGCACTTCACATAACATATTGTAAAGTGGATTGACTGTGTATATCGTGTGCAAAATGCGACAGTCTTTTGAGCACATCAGTGTCCCACAAACAGTCATGGACTGAGTGACCATTTATTTTGTTAAGGGATAATTAACCCCGGAAAGCCATCTGCCAATCGACTGATAACCGGGGTCCTACTTACTGCTTGGTAAACAGAGGCGTGTGGAGTAAGGAAACTTGTCTAACTTGCCTTTTCTCCATCTAGTGTACATATTGGAAATGTGTACGCATAATAACTACTGTTGACCTTGATGCAGGTTTATGCCGTCGTTCCTGCGGCTAGGATCCTGGAACGTGGTGATGTTTGTTACTTACGAACAGCTGAAACGTGGTATGATGGTGGCCAGACAATCCTGGGACTCTCGTGCGTGAATTCAATGTATTGTTTACTTTAAATGTTAAACAATGTTGGTATCAATTTTAAATTAACTGGAAGATCTTTCTATCTTGCGTTTTGAAGTTTTTTTTTATAATTTATGCACATCGCAGGTCGATTGTATTGTTATGTCTTGGCACTTTTCTACGTGGTTTTTAAATGTTAAACGTTGCTTTCCTTTAATATATATATTTTTATAAATATGGAATAAAACAATTTCTGCAATGCCTTTTTTGTTTTCAATTAAAAAACATATCCTGAAGAGAACAATATCTACTCAAGTTCTACAATCTCTTCATAAGTGAAGCCCCTCATTCCTGGTATCATTCTCTTAAATCTTCTTTGCACCCCATCCGTTGCCTTCCTGAGGTGCCCAAAACTGAACACACTGCTTCAGTTACAGCCCAACTACTGGTTTGTTCAAACATAACATTCTTGCTTTACTCTATGCCCCAGAAAACCATTAACTTTTTTCACAGCCCTCATCACTATGTTCAACAACAACAACTTGCATTTATATAGCGTCCTTCGTGCAGAGTAGTGTCCCAGCGCTTATTGAAGTTTCAAGAACATATGCACTGGCACTCCCGGGTCCATTTTCTACTTCTTACAAGATACAGCAATTCAATAAACTTCCCTTTTTGTTCTACCAAAAATGAAGTGCTGTGTTTTGATTCATTAAACATATCTGCCCCTGTACTGCCCCATTATGCTAATCTGTTTAATTCCTCTTGCCATCCTCATTATTCACAATACCTCTGAGCTTGGTATCTATCACCTGAAAACTTTGTTATAGTACCTCAGTCGGCAAAGCTTTCAGTCTCTTTTTCCCTTGCACTGGGGAACGCTCTAAATGCCACCACCTCATAACTGCCTTCTTTGCTTTCAAAACCTCTCTGATGTGCCCTCAGCCAACTCCCAATACCAACCCTGCTTAGGCGCCTATTCCTCTCTGTGAAATGCTTTTGAGTAACTTTCCTTCGTAAAAGATGGTATACAGGTTGTTGTTGTTGTGAAAGCTGGGCATGCTGGTTTAGTGAATAGTAAAGTGATTGAACTTTCTGCCTGGCTTCACCCCAACATGTCAGGTTTCCAATGGGTAGCCCTTGAACACTGACATCACTAGACTTTGCACTGCTATTGACTGAAGTGCAGAGTGAACAATACCAATGTTAAAACTATCACAAAATACATTGATCAAAAATGTTTGGTGCGTTCAAAAATAATTTATTACCAAAAAATAATCCAGAAGGACAATCGCACTCATCAACATAATTGTGTCATTATTATAAAAAGATTAAAACGTTACCTTATTATACAAGATTCAAATTATCTCCATACAAATACATTCAAGACAAAAATGACATACAAAAACAGTGAAATCCTCTCACAAGTATACAGGAATCTGTGTGCAATGCTACCCAGATCTTTGATGGGCTGTATATTATAATAATAATAATCCTTGCATTTGATATAGCGCTTTTCACATCTTCGAGACGTCTCAAAGCGCTTCACAGAATATACTGTAAAGTGAATTGACTGTATATTTGTGGGCGAACGCGGCAGCCAATTGCGCACAGCAATGTCCCACAAACAGTCTTTGATTGAAAATGACCAAATTTATTATTGTTTTGTTTTATTTAGTATAGCTTTACATTGCACACATTAGCACACCAAACCTTCAAACAAAATGAATAATCTAATGATATCAGCTCACGGTCTCCAATTAAGTCCAGCTGCAAAATTTAGAAGAGTTCTGTACAAACGGTCAGCAAAAATTACATTCAAAGACAATTCAGCCACCTTTCAAAACCGATGCCCCACCTTGTTCAGGCTCCCAATCAATTTCCATTGAATGCTTTTGAGTGGTTCTCCTCCGTGAAAAACTGGTATATAAATGGTTCTTGTCATGAAAGCTGGGCATGCTGCTTCAATGAGCAAAGCTCTCAGCCTTCCTTTAAGTGTTGCTGCAAAATTCCCACAGATATTTAGCTCATATTAATATTCTAAATCTAAACCATGGGTGTATATAGATTAGTTTTTGAGGAGAGCCTATAGGGAATAAATACACAAATGCACCTTTCCCACGTACACATCGCAGCAAGTATCCCATATAAAAAATAATGAAGACTCGAGCCCTAAAACTCCTCAATTTCTTAGCCTTAAAATTGATTTGTCTTGTTTCATTGTCTTAAAATTTCAGAACGTGCAGAATTTTTTTCCGGAAACTTCCTATATTCAATCTCAGTTTGGAAGCCAGTTTTCCGCGGTTCCTGTCGAAAAAGATAAAATGAGGAGCCCAATAAAAGGGTTCCCAGTTAATACTGGGCTTTAGAATCTTCCAAAATTCTGGTCGATGGTCTTCAGGCTGAGACTCCAAGCTGTTTAGGCCTCTGGCTCTTCGTGGCCTTATTTATAACTTTGTGGTGCTGCACATCCCAAACCAGGATTGCTCAGAAATCAGCAATAATCGGGAATAATACCCTAGGTCTTATATCTCCAGAGTTTAGGTACCTGTGCCCAGTATAAAAAGCCCCAAACTACTGCAAGCTATTTTTTCTGGGTTCAGGAGTGACACTGGATCTGCCTCAGATTCAGACACCAGAAGTCAATATAACCATTTTCCCATCATACTAGTAAAAGGAAGAGTATTTGGTCAGTTTGTATGTTTTGACCCTGTTCTGCTCCATCTCAATTGGTCAATGCATTGAGTGCTGCAGAGAATGGGAGCCCCCACTGTTTGCTTCTGAATCAGAAGCAAAATCTTCTTGAGCCAATGTCCCTTTGTAAAAGGGCATATTTGTGCCCAAAGATGCTCAATAAATAAAAACCTTTACCAGAAATGGTGAATTACAAGTGCTTTCAAACTGAAGTAAATGTAATGAGCTTCAAAAGTTTTTTTTCAGGACTAAGAAGATCATCCAAAATCAAAGCGATTCACAGAATATAATGAATTGACTATATATTTTGTGGGAGAAACGCAGCAGGCAATTACGTACAGCAGTGTCCCACAAAGAGTTGGGGTTTGAGTGACCAAATTATTATTGTTTTTTGAAGGGATTATTACCACCAAAAAGCAATCAGCCAATAATAATAATCATCAAATAATAATTTGATACAGTGCCTTATCACGTCACCAAGATGTCTCAAAGCACTTCACAGAATATACTGTAAAGAGAATTACCTGTACATTTTGTGGGCGGAACGTGGCAGCCAATTTGCGTATAGCAGTGCTCCACAAACAGTCGTGGGTTGAATGACTACATTTTTTTTGAGGGATTACTATCCTTGGAAAGCGATCCGCCAATCGACTAACAAGCGGGTTCCTACTTACTGCTCGGTCAACAGAGGCGTGTGGAGTCAGGAAACTTGCCTAAGGTTTCACCCTGCCGGAATCAAACCCAGCTTCTCTCACTTGCGAGGCATGTCCTCTACCCACTAGGCTACAGGAACTCCTGATTATTACTCCTTTGATTCCCTTCAATCAAATTCTTCCTCCAATAGAAACAAAACCAAAATGTAAAATGCATTTGGAACTTCCGTGCTAATAGACACCCAATTTCTTAAGCGGAAGCAGCTGAATCTCTCACTGCCAGGAAATCTCATCTGAACTGCTCGTGTGAACTCCTCCTTATCTCTCTCTCTCACACACACATGCACTTTGCCTCTATATTATTATAACTTTCATTTGTGCCCCCTCCCTCCCTCTCCTTGAGTGTATAGTAATGTCAGCTTCCCCCACCAAGGAGTATGGAAATAGTATTTAGGACATATAGCAAAGTGTATGTTTCTCTCTCACTTATAGACTAACAAAGGGTTCCTACTTCCTGAGGTCTGACAAAGGGTTGTGGACCCGAAATGATGACTCACTTTCCTTTCTCCATAGACCTGACCTGCTGAGTGTTCCCAGCGACTTCTGTTTTTGTTTCCTACTTACTGCCAGGTAAACAGAGGTGCGTGAAGTAAGGAAACTTGCCTAAGGTTTCGCCCTGTGGATAGCAATGTATGAATTTATTTTCATATGTCTAAATTAAATTACATTATTTAACATATTAACAAAACTGAACTCCTGTTAGGTTTGGAGACTCTTAATTAAAGTGATGGGTTTCTGCATGTGCACGGACACTCTGCTGACAATAAAAAGGTTTCAGCTTTTATCTGTAAAGTGTCCTGCAAAAATCCTGGCGATTCTTTCGGTTTCCTTTCTCGGCAGTTCTGTTGATGTTAGTCTTGGTTTCGGACGGTTGCTGCGTCGACCGGCAGGTCCCGAGGTCCCTGCCATCTCACTCTGCAAAGAGCATTTAAAGAAAATCTTTTAAAAGTTGCATTTATAATTAGGTGCAAAATTCATTAAAGACATTTCCCCTCAAGTAAACCCAGATCGATACTTTAGGATGCACTAAGACAGTAGAAAAAGAGGACACAGGTTTAGAGTTACAAAGGGTGATTTCAGAACAGATACCACAAAATTTTACTTGTAGAATCATAGAATCCTACAACAAAGAAGGAGGCCATTTGGCCCATAGTGCCTGTGCCGGTTCTTTGAAAGAGCTACCCAATTAGTCCCACTCCCCCACTCTTTCCCCAAAACCCTGCAAATTTCTATACCCAGAGAGTAATTAATGACTGGAACAAGTTGCAGGAAGGGTGGTTGATGTCAGGATTCTACAACAACAACTTGTACTTATATAGCGCCTTCCACGAAGGGTAGCGTCTCAGAGTGCTTAACAGCGGCGGAGCCTGACTCCGAGCCGGGTTGGGGGGGGAGGGGAGAGGTGGCCATAAGCACGGTCGAAGAGGAAAGTTTTCAGGCGGGACTTGAAAAAGGGGAGAGAGGGCCAAGGCGGAGGGATTGAGGGAGAGTGTTATTCATTAGACTTATTTAAAAAACAGCTTGATGCTGTGATGGTAGGGTTAGTGTTCTGGAATGATGAGAGCTGGAGGTTCAAAAGGCCTTCTTCATTCCAGACCAATGTTGTGATCTTCTGAAAGATTTGGATCAGTAATTTTAGGATGGAAAATCAGAGAAGTTCCTGCTCCTCATCACTGCTGCTAGAAGGTACACAAGTGGATGTTTTGTGAAGGCAGATTGAGGCTCACATGTGAATGATCCCCACAGCAGAACAACTTAAAACACTGTCAGCTCATATGTGAATAAAAAACAATAAAGGTCATGGCGTTGTATAAGGAGAAACATAATTCTGTCTAATAATACTAATCATAATTCTTGCATTTGATATAGCGCATTATCACGTCGTTGAGGCATTTTAAAACACTTCAGAATATACCATAAAGTGAATGAATTGACTGTATATTTTCTGTATATTTTGTGGGTGAAACACGGCAGCCAATTGCTCACAGCAGTGTCCCACAAACAGTCACTTGTGGGACACTGTAGAGAAAGAAATGTCTGTCAGAGAAGAGAACAAACAGCAACAACAACTCACTGTCATCATGTTTTGCACTTGTTGCTGAACTTGTTATTGTCGGGCTTTTAATGTGGGGTAGCTTCTGGGAAGTTGAACAGAAAGCATCTGTTGCAAAGATTTCCCACAACAGTGTTGTTCTGACTTACATCAGCTTCTCACATTTAGACTGAGGGAGTTCAATATTCACGTGCACCGCTACAGGCACGAACCTTAATATTACGATATCACTGATACATTTCCATGAGATGAAAGGTGCTATGCAAATGTAATTTTGTATCATCTTATATCTTTGCCACGATTTTCTTACCATTTTGGAAAAATGTACGCAGTATCTATTATTTACCGCTCGTATTATTTAATTGCAAAACAGCGGGAAGGTATCTGCTACCCCTTAAAACCTTCTGATTCAAAACCAAGAGTGCTATCAGGCCGACATTTAATTTAATCTTCCAAAGTAACTACCCAATCATTCTCCCACTAGAAAATCAACATGTATTAAATGAGCCCAGTGTTCTAGTCTTTACCAACCTTTCAGGTGTTAATTGTCCTCTCTAAATGGAAATATCTCCTAGTGTCTGATCTAAAATTGCCCATCCCAACTCTGAATCCAGGCCCTCTTGTTTGGTGACTTGGCGTATCTGAACATAAAGTCTGGATTTACTTTCTCAATCCCATCTAGCATTTAAATACCTCCAACATAAGATGCGGAGTCCTGTAGCGTATTGGTTAGAGAGCTCGTCTTGCACGAGAGAGGACCCGGGTTCGATTCGCCGGCAGGGCGAAATCTTCAGCAAGTTTTCTAACTCCAGGCGCTTCTATTTACCGAGCAGTAAGTAGGAACCCAGTTGTTAAATGGATTGGCAGATCACTTTCCGGGGGTAATAATCCCTTCGTCAAACAAACAAACAAGCAAATAAATAATTTGGTCATTCAATCCACAACTGTTTGTGGGACACTGCTGTGCACAATTGGCTTACTCATTTCGCCCACAAAAATCAATTCACTTTACTTTATATTCTGTGAAGTTCTTTGAGACGCCATATCAAATGCAGGGATTATTATTATTACGTCACCTACAGGAGAGATGTTTGCTTTTCAAACTGAAGAGCCCTAGATTTCCCACAGCTCATCCCAGTAACTTTTAGGGCCCATTCTCTTTCCTGACCGCTGCACTCTCTCTAGGGCCTGAGCTGTCATCCTTATGTTGGGATGACCAGAAATTATAGAATATTTCAGCATGGTCTGTGCAGCTGGGAACTGCAGAACATAACTGATTTAGCAATATACCCCAGCATCCTGTTTGCCTTGTGTTGCTGCGTCAAGGGCAAGCAATGACTCATGAAAACAGTAATACTGGACTGACGAAAGGGGAAGTTCATTTTGTTAACTGCAAAAGAAAGTTGCTAAAGCAGGCAAAACGTCATAACATTTGGAACAGTATTCAATTATATTTAGCAATCGCGAGGCTAATTAAATTTAGGGCTGGTAATTGCAAATAAGCAGACAAAATGTAGGGCAAAAGTATAGAATGAAAGGAACGGAACTGGGTATGGGGACTTAGAAATGGATCTGGGAATCTGTCCCTTTATAACATTTTCCATTGTTATTTCCCACACAGAGTTGTTAGAATGCTCTGCCAAGTAAGGTGGTAGAGGCAGAGAACATTGTGTGTTTCAACAGGGACATAACAGGTACATACACTCGAAGATAAACACTCGAACGATATGGGAATAGGGCAGGGCGATGTCATTGAATTGGCAGCTTGCTCTGAGAGCTATGCAGACTCAATGGGCTCCTTCTGTGATAGAAATTTCTCTCAGCCACTATGCCCTGAAGAAAGGACAATCTACAGGTTTTTAAAACCTAATTAAGTTATATAGCCCAGTGGTAATCCCCCATCAACCTGTCCGCTCCCTCTGTTCAGCAGGTTCCGGCCTGCTCTATGTCTCCTGCCCGACCCGCCCTACCATCGGCGGCCGGGCTTTCAGCCTCTCTGCCCCCAACCATTGGAACTCCATTCCATAATCCCTTCGCCTTCAAGGCACGACTCAAGACCCTCCTTTTCGACCGTGCGTTCAGCCGCCCTTCTACCTCTCTGCCCTCCTTCAACCCAACCCTACACCCCCCCCCATGCTTGGGTCCTGATTCCCAACTGTTCAGCGCCTTGGGACGTCCTCCCGACGTGAAAGGTGTTTTACAAATGTAACTTTGTTGTTGTTTCTATGCCAGTCCTCAGAATAGCCACACTGCCAAGTGAAAGATTGAGATGTAAAAAGATTTAATAGTAAGCTCCAGAACCATGACTTTTTAACAGCAGAGTGAGGTTACAATACAATTTACATCGCGCCTTTGAAGAGAGAAGATCACCTAATATGAAATGTTTTTCCAGGTAAGTCTTTACATTTGTGGGATAAAGGCAACTGATATTTTACATATGTAAATCAAATACGCATCTAACCTCGCCATTGAGAAGTCTTAAAGCGCTTCACAAGATTTTACTATGTAGTGACTGCTTATTTTGTAGGCAAACTCGTCAGGCAATTTGTGTATAGCAATCACAGCCGTAAAGTAACCACTTTTTTGAATGATCCTGCATTATCCTAGAATCATAGAATCCTACAGCACAGAAGGAGGCCATTTGGCCTATCGTGCCTGTGTCGGCTCTTTGAAAGAGCTGCCCAATTATAATCATCCTTTCAAAGAAGGTTTTGCACAAAATGAGGGTAATCAATTTAAACACTATCCTTCTTTGGACAGCACTCTCATGTACCTTTCACCTATTATGCTAAGTATTACTCTTCACAACTCAGCAACGAGTTTACTGGCAATCAGCAAATGTAATGCAAGCCTTTCTGTAGCCTGTAACAGAATTATTTTTTAATCAGGACTCATTTAGTTATCAATTTCATTCAAGGGTCTTATGCAAACAAAAGATATAATTTAAAATGAATCCACTCTTCTGTTGCTTCGGGCATTGTACAAGTTAATAATGTTGTTAGTGGCTGCTGCAACTCCTGAGGAACAATCCTCACTGCAGTGAACCAAATGTAGTTGTGCTTGACTTAGATCCTAGGCTCTAATAGCGATCTAAAAGTTTACACTTTGGTTGTTTGCTTTCTTTTAAAATGCATTGTAGGGTCAGTCAAGGTTACGAGCTCAAGGTCTCCAGGTCTTCAAAACCACCTTCTGACCCACGAGCTGGAGGGATTATTAATAATAATAATCCTTGCATTTGATATAGCGCCTTATCACGTCTTTGAGATGTCTCAAAGCGTTTAATAGAACATACTGTAAAGTTAATTGATTGTATATTTTGTAGGCGAAATGTGGCAGCCAATTGCGCACAGCAGTGTCCCACAAACAGTCGTGGATTGAGTGAGCAATTTATTATTATTTTTTTTGAAGGAATTATTACCCCTGGAAAAGCCATCCGCCAATCGACTAACAACTGGGTTCCTACTTACTCTTAGGTAAACAGAGGCGCGTGGAGTAAGGAAACTTGCCCAATGTTTCACCCTGCCGGGAATCAAACCACTGAGCTAAAGGACTGGCACATAATATAATTCATTAACATTCACCCCAGACTACTAAAAACAAAGACTTCATATCTGCTTGTCTGGTCATTCCATTCTTTCCTTCATTTTCTCTGCTCATACCGTCATTTTTGGAGGTGGCAGCGTCTATGTTTAAACTTGTTTTCATTGGCTTAAAAACTTCTTTTTAAAACATTCTGTTTATTGGTAAAAGGCTCGAAGAACTTACTGAGTATGTTCAGACACACATCTTCACTACTTCATTTGGTAATAGCTTCAACATACAAGTATTATCATTATGCACACAATATGAAGACATCACTGGG